GAAAGGCATTATAATCAAATCATTTTCACTAATCAATTTTATAATCATCTTACAGATTCTAATCAAGAAAACAAGCGGCTCCAATTAGATATTGATGAAGATAGTAGTATTGATCATCCCAATATTATAGCTGAGTTTGAAAAGACTAAGAGACTTCTAGAAGCTAGTCAGCAGGATATTCAGCAAAAGTCACAATTAATAATTGAGCTCAACAATCAAATCGTACATATGCAAAAGCATTTAAAAGATCAAAAAAACGAAATAGAGGAGTTAAGACAAAAAATACAAAGGGCTCATGATTATGCAATTAAGACTCAAAGTTTATATGAGGAACAATGTAAAAAGAATGATGATCTTGTCAAACGATAGGATTCGCGATTCAATAATCAGCAAAAGTGCATTGATGCAATTATTGAGATAGCAAAGGCAGAATGTGAGGCATTATTCGATGACATAGAATCATTGATTAGAGATAATAGTAGATTTACGGTAGAAAGTCTTACAGTATATTCTCCTTATAAATAGCTCAATAAGCATAATCAGATCATTGTTAAATTTATCAAAATGCTGATTTAAAATAGTTGAGAGATTGATGACCTGAGTCACGAAAGGTTCTTCAAAATTGCTATTGCAGTTGATACAATATACAGAGCTCAATATGGGAGATATGTATCAGAAATCCATCTTGCTGCTTCAGCTATTAAGTATTCTATTATACGATCAAAGAAGATTATTAGCATTAACAATCACATTACTAGTTCTGGAAGCTAATATTAATTCCAAAAGTGGTTAGAAGAATTATTTGTGCATGAAGAAAAATTGCCCGAAGGTCTTCTATTTCTTGCATTTGACAATAAACAAAGGGGACAAAAAAATTACCTTGATCGAGGATTTAACACAATAATTTTTCATATCGTTACTAGTTTTGTTGCTTTTAATATGGGATCGCAAAATAAAATTCAAAGTACTAACTCACTTTGGTTACATTCTTCTTTAAACAGATTGCAATATGAAGAACTTTTCAATGTTAACCCTCTAATGTAAGAAGTTATCAACAAAGAATTGCATACTTACCTTTCTGAGATTCTTAAATTGCTGCATGAAGAAAAATTGGCTTCCATTAATACTATCGATTCTCTTATAGCGACAATGACCAACATTACCGTTATGAAAGAGTGTCTTAATTGCAATCAAAAAAACATTGAGAATTAAAAGCAAACATGTCCGAAATGTAAAGAACGATTGCCAACATTAGCCAAAATCCAAAATGAAAAGGCAGTTGAAAATAGCGTGATTGATCAGCAAAACAAGCCATTTATTTTTAAACCCTATAGCATTAGTGATGAATCGAGTAGCGTTTCTGTTCTCAGGATAAGTTTTACTCAACAGCCAATTATTGAATAAGGAGTTAATACTCCTGAGATCTATATTTCTAATCCGATCAATATTAACCCTAATTCAATTGTAAATGTTGAAAAGGTTCTTCTTTATATAAAAACGATATCTGGTGTTAAGGATGGAAGTCGTAAGTGAGTTGTAGTAACCTGTGATGGTGTCCTATATCATTATGCTATCAAGTTTAAAGAGAAATTCCCTTAGTTAGTTCTTATACCAGGGCAGTTATATAAGAAGATGAACATGCTTTGAGCATATGTCGAATTAAATTAGTAAATTTGTTTTTTATTAAAATAGCATAATTTTTTATTGATAAATTTTATTTTCTATATTAATAATTAGGAAAATAGACTTGAAGGAATTTGCATTTTGTCAAGGTTATCAGACAGAAAATCAGCTTGGGTATTTTAAAAAGTGTATAGATCATCATAAGTCTTGGGATTCTGTCTATGGCATATATCGTCAGGCAATAGCAATGGAGCTCATGTGGCCATACGTAAAAAGTCATTCTAATCCTTCAGTTGAAGGATATCTTGCTTGGGTTAAAGACAACAAGACCTGCTCTATCAGATAAAATATGAGTAAACATTTGTTTATCTTCAGGCAATCATCAATTACCGGAAAGCCATAAAAACCAATAACCCATTCTTAAAGAGAGCTGCTAGAAGAACATTTTCTCCAATTTGGTTTGCAAGACGACATCCAATTTATTGCTTAATAGAGGTTGCTAATGAAGTTCAATTGATGTGACTTCATCTGGAAGTATATGAGTCTATAGAGAAGAATTGTGTCGTTTCTAGACTAGGCATTTATGAACAACACCAAGGATTAGATGCAATTATTGAGGAAGTAAACAAGGCTTTGAAGCTTTAATACCTCCTGTTCACAATATCATCATTAGAAAGTTGCTGCGCATAATTGCAAAAGTTTTTTGAGTTTAGAGATAATCTATTTAAATTAATCAGTTACAATGATCTTTAAACATCTGAACCAAGAACTCGACCAGAATCTACTATGGAATGCCAAAGATTCTGGATTTATTTAAGAAGTTTTGAATTTACCAATCCAATAAATACGAGATCAGTTTGTCAAAATCTAGGAGAAAATCACGAATTGAGTGAACACTTAAAAAACTTTACACATTTAACAAAGCAGGCTCGGCAAAATTTTATTATTGAAGTATTTATTAACAAAATCCATCTCCTTTTTTTAGACCAATACTAATTACAAAACAAGAAGCGGATGCATAAGAAAATGAAGAAAACATTAACAGAGCTGAACTCATATTGAAAATCGAAACTCTCCTTGAACATTATGAGAATGCTCAGAAAGAATACCCTGGACTGAAATCAAAAAAATGAAGTGAACTATTAAATATATTACAAGATATAAAGCATACATTCAAATCGCATAATTAATTTAATGACTAACAATAATTTTTTTTTCTCATTTTCTAATAGAAATTTCTCCATAGCAATTTCTCTAACGGCATTTTTTCAATAGTATTTCACACCAATGGCACTTTACACCAACGGCATTTCACATCAATAGCAGCAATTTCTCTGACAGCATTTTTCTAAACAGCGATTTCTCTAGCGGTATGTTTCTAACAATTTTCTGACTACTCTGACAGCAATTTTTCTGACAGCAATTTCTTCACGACAATAATTTATCCAACAGCAAATTTATTCGAAATCCGCTTTTTGAACGTCCATTTCTTTAATGATTTGCTTGTGTTATGAATAACTTTGGCCAACCTGTTGAAAAATCACTTGTTGGTGAAACAGATATTGGAAAAGTTACTTTTTATTGCGCATATGTTATAAATTTTATTGGTATTAAATACAGATATAATAAATATTTTAAAACTTTTTAATTCTGTAATTTTGACCAATCATAATTGAAGTATTCTAGAATATTCTGATCGGCAAATTTATTACTATAATAGGAAATAATCGTTATGATATATTTGGTAAATTTCCTGACTGAAATAATATAATTATACAATTTGATCAATATTTTATAATACTTAAATAATAAATTATTTTTTTTAAAAAAATTTTTAGATAATCAAATATAAATTTATAGATTATTAAAAACAATTTATTGGCAAATATTCTGTAAAAATTAATTTTTATTATATATATTTTATATTTTAAGTAATTGCAATACAAAAATAAAAATAAAAAATTTTTTTTTTAAAATTTATAATATTTTATCAAACAAATATATATAATATATAATTATTTTTCTTAATTTATTTATATTTAAAACTGTATTAATGAAACTTTATAATATTATTAACAATAATAAAATAATCTTACTTTTTTACTTTATATATTTAAATTACTATTATTATAAAAATCAATATTTATAAATAAGTATAATCTTTACTATCAATACATATAAATTCTTCTTTTCTTATTTTATCTATGTCTAAACATTAAAACATTAGGAATGAACATTTAGAAATTTAGTCACTAGAACCATGACCTTAAAATATAATCTAAAGCTTCACAATAAAGAGAATGAAGATAAATATGAATATAACTGATTATTTAAATATATAGAGAAACAGTTCAATTATTCAGGATGATAATAAATAGAGATAGGACACAAAGATGTTGGAAAAATCATAAAACAGAATTCGGAAATATAATGAGAAACTTGAAAATTTTTAATAAGGCAAAAGGCGATTAAAGAATAAAAATATGGATAAAGTATTTGCAAATGTAATAAATTTTTATATTTATATTATTTTATATATCATTAAAATGTCACTAATGAATCGTATTTTATTAATGTTTTTTCTACGAAAGAAGAATATTATAATTCCACTAAGATATGATAGGTGAATAATATGCATTACATTGCCAATATATTAGAACTAAAATTTCTTTGCTTTTCCTTTGCCAAGAATTTTTCTGCGTTGACCAATCATATGAGTATACATTGTATAAAATCCTGGCACATAAATCAATAAGATAGTAACCAGTGCCCAATAAAAACTTGTATTAATTTTTATGGCATACGGTAGTGATTCAAATACTAATACTGCTTCACTGCCTGCTCCAACGGGATACAGAATAAAAAAGAATGTATACCTATTTACCAGCAACAAGAAATTTTTTTAACAAAATGTAAAAACTTCTTAAATTACTTCAAAATAAATCACTTTACCTGCACCATAATAACCATCCTGGTTGACTTCCTACAAGGTTTAATCCGTAAAATGCATATCTAATACATTCAGTTATACTCCATGCCATTGTCATACTTGTAAATGCCCAATGAGATCTTATCTAAGAAGAAACATTTCTTTAATACGACTTTTTTTTTTTTTGGATAATATTATAAGATATATGTAACTTACTTCTGGAAAATTATTTACAATTATCCAAACGAGAGTCAAACGCGAAGCAACTTGAATAATTGTAGTTGGAAGAGAAGATCTTACCAACCCTATTTTAAAAAATACGATCAGATCCATGAAAAAAAAAATTAGTAAAATCCCAGGAGCTACCAAATTAAATTTATTCGCGAATTACCTAGAAGAACATGAAAAATCTATGAAATTGCAAATAAAATTTCTTTTATTAAAAAGATTATTTCATTAATTTTATTATATCAAACTTTGGCGATAAAATACCTCCAAGATAGCTCCAGTTTGTACAAGCTTTAACGTCCACCCTATTTTATCATATGCTTTTGCTAAATCATCATTTACAATTAACTCCAGAATGGATAAAAGAATGTAACTCCAACCAGCCCATGAAGCTGCATTATAAAATATTAAGTAGCCATTTAAACCTCTCGTAGTTTCAACTTTGTTTTTTGAAGACATTACGAAAATTTTAATTGCAAATATAGAAGTAGGACCAAACCTTTGGTGGCATTACCTGTTTCAATTCGAAATTTATCACGATAAAGGGAAATTGATTTGCGTTTTCGAAATTAAAATTGCTAAATATATCTTTATTAAAAGTTTGAAATAAGAAATGATTTGCGCGTTACATGTGATCTCGGCATTGTAAATCATTATGTTACACACGTTTACATTGGATTGCGCCAATTTTTATTACCAGTCTTATTTACAGAAGGTAAAAGAAAAAAAATGATTGAAAAGTTCTTTATGAAAAAAAAAATAGAATAAACCCTAATATTATCTAAATTTTAAGATTTTTATATTTTTTATATTTAATTTTTACTTTTTTTTTTTTTATATTTTCAGATAATTCGCAGAATCAAGGATTTATCCAAAGGTAATTTGAGAACCACCACCACCAGGAGGTTTCAAGATACTAATAATAACGAAGATTAGTTGTAATATATTTATTAAAATTTAACTCCGGTAAAAGAATTTATGGTCTGCTACTCACCGACTTGAAGGCTTGACGGAAGGACGTTGTTGTTGTTCATCACCAAATCCAACAGATGACTCGAATTGAGATTTTCCTCGTCTCTTGGAAGATCCAGATATAGAAGTGTCTTGTTGTGCCTCGTGATTATCATCTCCGATAGAAAAATGGGATGCATTTTTTTCGGAATTGAACCTTCTACGTTGGGAATCTGAATTTTTTTTTTTTCAAAAAAAAAATATTAGCTACTAATGATTGAAATAATACTAACTTCTCAATGCTATTTACTTACTTTCATCATATGTATCACTATCACCAAATACGGAAGATTTACCACCCGTACCGCCAGGCTGATTAACGCGACTAGAAGTATGGACATTTCGACGACCAGTCTGTTGTTGTTCTGATCCAGTTATTTGAGCGTCTTTTTGTACATGGTTCTGCTCTTCATCTCCAAAAGAGAAATGAGACGCATTTTTATTGGAATTGTATCTGTTGCGTTGATTATCTGAAATTATTTTGAAAAAGTGCTTAGTGATAATTCAAATAAATTTTCAAAGCAAATAATATATTACTTACTTTCTTCGTAAGAATCATTATCACCAAATACGGAAGATTTGCCACCCGTACCGCCAGGTTGATTAACGCGACTAGTAATATGAACATGTCGACGAGAAGATATCTCTGGTTCTATATATTATTGCTTCGTTTAGTGAATTGTTGACAAAGTATTTTTTTTTTTTTTATTTTTTGTTTAAAAACAAATTCACTTGCAAAACTTACGGTTAACATTCATTCGAGCTACACCGGCTGCCAAACGATCAGCTCTACCAAATGGATTGAGATGGGCGCTTGTAATATCGCGTACCACATCTACTTGTCTATCGCTAACTATTGGCCAAGAAGAATTCTTATCGGAAATCCTATAAATATTAATTGATCAATCACACGAAATTGCGACGTGAAAATTCAATATATAATAAAATAATTACAATTTAAGTTGTTTCAAGACAGATGCTTGATCCCAATATACACGCTTTAAATTCAATTAAACAAATAATTAAATAATGTTTAATATGAAAATTATATAAAAATATTAATGATCACATACTATAGAAGAGATCCTATCGCCCTCTAATATCGCAGAAGTCACCTAAATATGAAAAAAATTAATGTCACATTATAAACACAAAAAAAATCTCGACAAAGAACTGAACTTACCGTAGGAATTACAACTTGACTGTCAATCGTGTAACGACCATCAATACCTGGCACAAGCCAAACACCATCACCGTTAATAAAATTGATTGTAGTTTCCGATTCTTCAACAATGGAGTTTTCTCCGATGGTTTGGATAAGGACTCTTTCTACAACTCTAAGCATACGAGAGTCATATGCGGTAGAAAGGAACTGTCTAACAGCATCGTACCCTCTTGCACCAGCAGCTGTTGGTACGAAGACGAATGAAGCGTTGTCAGTGAAATGATCACCGTCACGTTGCTTTTTGTATTGTTCCCAAACTTCTCTAATAGACATTTTGTAAAGTTTTACTTGGTTAATAAGTTTTTTTTTTTTTCGTTCGTGTTTTTTATTAAGAAATAATATGATCAAATAAGCAAAATATGTTATGCGTATATTTAAAAGAGAAAAAGAAGGAAAAAAAAAAAAAACGCCGCGAAGATAATTTTTTAGCTTTTGAAAAAAAAAAAAATAGGACAGCGGCTTAAGAATTGATTTTGAGACAATGGATCACATTTTTGTCTTTTTTTTTTTTTTTTTTTTTTTTTTGATAGGCAAACATATATAAAAAGATAATTTGCACCTTTTTTTATAGGTACAAGGAAAGGATGCACAATGTTTCAGTCAGAAAACGCCGTTCTGCGTTCGATTTGGACAAATCCTTTAAGATGTATCAAATTATTTTGCGAGGTAACATAAAAACAGCACCAATAACGGATTGCATCTTTAACATGATCAATGATTCAATAATAGGTAAGCGTATGATCCGGATTTCAGGGTATGCTGTGACGGGAAACACAAACTTTATTATTTTTGCACTTATTATGCACTTTTGAATTCTTCTACTTCCTCTTGTTGCTAAATTAATAAAGATATCATTTTAACTTTGCAACATAAATCAAAAAGTTAGGTATTATAATAAAATAAAATACCAATAATTTTTGTTGTTCTAGAAACCAAGAAGGTAAATTATGAGGGAGAGTGATCAAATCCATATCAAACAGCTCAATAAATTGTTCGTTTACATAACGCGCTTTATTTCCTGCAAAACAACGGTACTTTCATTTAAAATAAAATAAAAAAGATTTTTGTTTACCATTTGTAAATTAATTGAATTGCAAGAGATATAATAAAACCTTTACCTCTGCAGCAATCGAGTTAAAATTCCAATTTTGTAATTTACGCAAACATCCGACAAATGTTCCAGTTTCGTGGATACCTGATCTTTTTTACGCGTATTGCAATATGTCCAAGTCTCGTAATTCAATAAATAAAAGAGTTCACTTAAAATTAAATAATTGTTTATGAAACATTACGTGCACATAACAAGTATCGGATGGTTTTCAACATCTAATGCCATTTCCAATCCATCCTTTATTAGTTCTTCACTAACAGGTCGCCAACCAAGATTCGGTTTCCAAAATTTCCAAACTCTCAGTCCTAAATGAACCTTTATAACGTGTAAAAATAATGAATAAAGTTGCTACAAACTATATTTTATATAAAGGTACCAATTTAATGTTATTATCCTCCAAGAAGTTAGTTACAGCACGAGTGGGAACTTCAGGCGATAGTACGAGAACTGTTTTTAGGTAAAGTGCTTTAATGAAAGAAAATTGAGAAGGATGTAACATGTCTGAACGATAAAGGCCTTTTTCGATAATTCCAAATTGTTCAGGTGGAGTCAACATTATTGTAAAGAGTGATTGATTAATGGGGATTGGGAGGGAATCTACATTCTGATTAGGAAAAAAATCTACCAATCAAATCTCATTCCTAAATTTTTAGGTTGATTCGCATAAATAATTCGTTTTTCTCGAAAAAAGGTTCTCTCTCTCATAATATCTCAAGAATTGAAGGTTAGTATAATGTTTATTCATCCATCCTGGGTAAATTCATTATCATTCAGGCTGTTGATATATGTCAAGAACTTACATTTTTTTTTTTATTCATGTTCTGACTTTTTATTGGAATTAAAGGTTATTATAATTGATTTTTTTTTTTTTTTTTTTGTTTTTTAGCATTTGCGAAAATGACGGAAGCAACTATGGCAGTACAGACATATGGTCGTAAAGTTAGTAATTATTTTCAATGATTTTTATAAAAAATAAAATTATTTTTTTAATTTAATTATTTTACGAGTTTGAATTTTTTCTTTAACCATTCATCCAATCTTTAAATTGACGAACATAATTGAATGTCATTAAATTTCAAATTGTAGAAAACCGCGACCGCTGTTGCTCATTGCAAACGTGGAAAAGGCCTTATTAAAATTAACGGATCACCTATCCATTTAGTTGAGCCAGAAATTCTAAGATTTAAGGTTTACGAACCTATATTACTTTTGGGACAAGATCGATTCGCTAATGTAGATATCAGAGTTCGAGTAAAAGGTGGTGGACATACATCCCAGGTCTACGCTATCCGTCAAGCAATCGCTAAAGCAATAGTTGCTTTCTATCAAAAGTATGTCGACGAAGCACAGAAAAAGGAAATCAAGGATATTCTCATCCATTATGATAGATCTTTGTTGGTTGCTGATCCCCGTCGCTGTGAACCAAAGAAATTTGGAGGTCCAGGTGCCCGTGCACGGTATATATTTTACTGTTATGGTTTATTATTAGTTTTTGATAATTTAAATAATATATATCTAATCCTTTTCTAATTAATTATAATAGCTACCAAAAATCCTATCGTAATTATATTTTTATTTTGTATTATTATTTTTTATTTGAGGTTTTATTAACATAATAATTAATATAAATCTCTCTCTATTTTAACTTTTTTTCAACTTCTAGGTTAATATGTATTTAATCATCATGTATTGAAATAAAAGAATAATATAAATCACGTGATTCAATATCGGTTGTAAACGAAATTATAAGAAAAAAAATTTTTTTTTTTTTTTTGAATTAATTTGATTTACCCTTAAACTTCATCTTGACACTATAATCGTATCATATAATCCCTTGAGAAATAAAAAAAAAAAAAAAAAAGCATATTATGAGTCATTTTGACTGAAGATTGTTCATGTTGTATAATTGATAATTTATGGAATTTGCAAACCGAATCCGAATATAAAAACGTAAAAATGGCCGGGAGACTCTACGGGCTTCAAAAACAGATGTCTCGGTTCGGAAACAACTCCGGCAAAATCAAAATCATTATTTATTATAGTGTCCTCATTCCATTAAACCTTATTAAATTT